ACTCCATGTGTTATTTGAATCCTTTTACATATCAACATCCAGTTATTCCAGGTCAATTTGTTGAAGATGCTTTCTTTCCTTCATTGTATAATTTTGGCTTCTTTATCAAAAATTAGGTGTCCATAGGTGTGTGGATTTATGTGTGAGTCTTTGATTTGATTGCATTGATCCACCTGTCTGTTTTTTATACCAATAGTATGCTGTTTTTTTTTATTATTATAGCTTTGTAGTGGAGCTTGAAATCAGGGATGGTGACACCTCCAGCAGTTCAATTATTCTACAGAATTGTTTTAGCTATCATGGGCGTTGTTTTTGTTTTGTTTTGTTTTGTTTTCCATATGAAGTTGTGTATTATTCTTTCAAGGTCTGTAAAAAATTGTGTTGGAATTTTGATGGGGATTTGGTAGGATGGCCATTTTTGCTTAGTTAATCCTACCAATTTATGAGCAAAGGAGAAGGTTTTTTTCTTCTGATGTCTTCTCCAATTTCTTTTTTCCAAAACTTGAATTTCTTGTCATAAAAGTCTTTCACTTGGTTGTTTAGTGCTAAGTTAGTTTCTTTTTCAGCCCTTTTATCATTTGTATATAAAAGGACTACTGATATTTCTTTTTAGTAAATCTTGCATCCAGCAACTTTGTTAAAGGTGTTTCTCAGCTGTTGGAGTTCCCTGGTTTGAATTTTTGAAGTCACTTTTGGATACTATCCTATCTTCTGTGAAAAGCAGTACATTGACTGCTTCCTTTCCAATCTGTATTCCTTGATCTCCTTTTGTTGTCTTTCTGCTTTAGCTAGAACTTCGAGTGTTATTGTTAATAGATGTAGAAAGAGTAGTCAGCCTTATCTTGTTCCTTACATTAGTGAAATTGCTTTTAGTTTCTCTCCATTTAAGTTGAGGTTGGCTGTTGACTTGCTGCATATTTCTTTTATTATATTTAGATATATTCCTTGTATCTTTGGTTTCTCCAAAACTTTTATTATGAAGGGGTGTTGGATTTTGTCAAAGACTTTTCAACATTTAATAAGATGATCGTGTGGCATTTTTTTCTTTCTGTTTGTTTATGTGGTGGATTACATTGACAGATTTTTGTTTGTTGAATCATCTCCATATCTCTGAGATGGAGCCCACTTGATCATGGTGGATGATCTTCTTGATGTATTCTTGGATTCGGTTTGCCAGTGTTTTACTGAGTATTTCTGAATCAATGTTCATGAGGGAAATTAGTGTGTAATTCTCTTTTTTGCTGCATCTTTGTATGGTGTGGGTGTCAGGGTAAATTGTGGCCTCATAAAAGAATTTGGCAATGTCCCTTCTGTTTCTGTTTTGTGGAATAATTTCAGGAGTACTGGTAGTAGCACTTCTTTGAAAGTCTGCTTAGAATTCTGCACTGAAACCATCTGACTCTGGGTTTTGTTGTTGTTGTTGGAAGACTTTTAATGATCATGGGGTTTTTACCTCAGGGGTTATAGTTCTATCTTAATTGTTTACCTAGTCTTGATTTAATTTTGGTATGTGGTATCTATCAATATTTTTTCATTTCTTTTAGATTTTCCAATTTTGTTGAGTACAGGTTTTTAAAATATGACGTAATTACTGTCTGATTTTCCTCAGTGTTTGTTGTTATGTCCCTCTTTTCATTTCTGATTTTGTTAATTTGGATATTCTCTCTCTGCCTATTAGTTCGAATTAAGGTTTGTCCATCTTGTTGATTTTCTCAAATAACTAGCTCTTTACTTCACTGTTTTCTTTTTTTTCTATTTTATTGATTTCAGCCCTCAGTTTGATTATTTCCTTTGTCTACTCCTTTTGGGGCATTTACTTCTTTTTGTTCTAGAGCTTTCAGATGCTTCATTAAGTCACTAGTATGAGATTTTCTCAAACTCTTTATGTAGGCACTCAGTGCTATGAACTTTCCTCTTATTGCAGCTTTCATTGTGTCCCATAAGTTTCAATATGATGTGCATTCACTTTCATTGAATTTTAGGAAGTCTTTCATTTCTATCTTTAGTTTTCCTTGACCCAGGGATTGTTCAGTGTCCTTTAGTTTGTAGGCCTTCTATAGTTTGTGTTGTTGTTGATCTCTAACTTTAATCCCTGATGATCTGATAAGATACAGAAGGTAATTCCATTTTTTATATATGTTAAGACTCACTTTGTGCTCAAGTACATGACTTTTGTGTTTGTGTGAAATGAAGATATCTTTTATGTCAATTTGAGTCTTTTTCCTGTTAGTTCTGTTATTTCTTTGTTTAGTTTCTGTCTGAATGATCTTCCTTTTGGTAAAAGTGGAGTGTTGAAGTCTCCCACTCATAGTGTGTGCTTCAATATGTGATTTAAGCGTACAAATGTTGATGTCCTTTTATTTGAAGCATAGATGTTCAGAATTGAGACATCATCTTGGTGGATTTGTCCTTTGATGAGTTTGAAATGTCCTTCTCCATCTCTTTTGATTAATTTTGACTTGAACTCTATTTTGTTAGATATTAGGATAACTACACCAGCTTGCTTTTTAGGTCTGCTTGATTGGAAAATATTTTCCAACCCTTTACTTTGAGGCAATGTCTGTCTTTGAAGTTGAGTTGTGTTTCTTGTATTCAGCAGAAAGATGGATCTTATTTTTTTTAATCTATTCTGGTAGTCTGTTTCCTTTTATTTGTGAATTGAGTCTATTGATATTGAGAGATATTAAAGACCAGTGATTGTTAATTCCTATTATTTTGTTGTTGGTAAGTTCTAGTTACTGGTCAGCCTTCAGGTCCAGTGGGGTGTTTCTACTGGAGTTTTGAGGGCCTTGGGTCCCTTGATTCATTTTGGTCTTTGGTAAAGCCAAAGTCTTCTTGGGTCTCTAGATCCGGAGGCCTTATCTCCAATAAAGCCAAAATCTTCTGTGTACCTAGTGGACCATCCTTGCCTCAAGCAGAGATGCTTCTGACTTGTCCGGACTGTATGTGGGCATATGGCATCTGTTCTCCAAATGATATTGACTGTGTCCAGGCCTAAGGGCTGGCCACAGAGAAGATGATGATTTGGGAGAGGTTGGGCAGTAGTATGAGTCTTGGGGGAGCATAATCCAGGGGTGGCCGCAGTCCAGCTGGCAGATGGGTCACTTATCTGCTTGTCCACTGGTAAGAGCTACACTAGAGCAGTGGGATTCCTCTGGAGTTTGGAGCAGGGCTCAGCAGCAGTGCTAGTGCTGAGATAGGAGGGGGCAGGCCACAGGACAGGAGGGTCACCCACGGGTTGTGGCTGGTGTGGTCTGTACCTCAGTGGCACAAGTCCTCTGGGGTTAGGGGCAGGGCACAGCAGCATCAGGGTCAGGAACTAACTGAGATGGTGTGGGCCTGGGCAAGGGATGGGGGAGGGGCTAGATACAGTGAGGAATACAGTTCCACTGGCAGACATGTCACTCATGTGTTCTGGTTTGTGTGGTCTGGGCCTGCTTAATAGAAATCTTTTGGGGCTGGGTGGAGGGCCCAGTAAGGTGATATTGAGGTTTGTAAAGACTTATGCCTTCCCAGTGTTCTCTCTGCCTCCTACTTGTGAATTAAGATGTGAACTATCAGCTCTTCCCACTTCCATGCTTTTGATCCTCCATTATGGACTCTTATGCTCTGAAACTGTAAGCCAAATGAAATGCATTCTTCTATAACTTGTCTTAGTCGTGGTGTTCTGTTACAGAAATAGAAAAGTAGCTAAGAAGCTGGGCGGTGGTGGCGCACGCCTTTAATCCCAGCACTCGGGAGGCAGAGGCAGGAGGATCTCTGTGAGTTCGAGGCCAGCCTGGTCTACAAGAGCTAGTTCCAGGACAGGCACCAAAAACTACAGAGAAACCCTGTCTCGAAAATCAAAAAAAAAAAAAAAGAAAGAAAAGAAAAGTAGCTAAGATATTGGGCCATTGCAGGAACTCATCAAATGATAACATTGACTTATGTATACACTTTTTTTTTTTCTGGTCTTACAAGGTGTGACTTGCCTATAACACAGTACACAGGAAACTAAGACAGAAAAAATACTGAGGTCAAAACAAGCGTGAGTTACACAGTGAAACATTGTATAATTCTCTTTTCACTTCTATCAACCCATTGAAGGGATTATCATAGAGGTTGCTGCTGGCTTTGGGCTTCCATGTCACTTTCTCCACAATATGGATGACAAAATAAAGTAACAAAAAATCTGAGCAAATAACATTTATAACTATATAATATATGTGCACATATAGGTGTGTAAATTTATATGTACGTGTACATGTGTAAGATGTATGCATGCGAGAAATGTCTTCTTTTGCTGAACAACTCTGTCTCCTTTTGTTTTATCCTTTCCGTTGCTCTTTTTTTTCCCCACCTCATTCTGAAGGCTGCCTCTTCATCTCTTCACTATGTGCTCAACTGTTTATATGAAGAAAGATAATCAAATCCCTAATGAGAGTTAGTCACCATCTTCTGGATGCTCCAGAACCCCACTATTGTAACCTAAGTGTTGACCCACAGTTTCTGAGTACACACTTTGCCTTGCCAGAACACTTGGATATCATTGTTACTTTACTCATTTCCAGGTGAAGATCTGAGACTCACACAGATCCCATTCACAACTTAAGATCTGTTAGCAGGGAAAGGATATAGCTAAAACAGGTTCAAAACCCCAGATTCCTCAGTTCTGAATCCTAAACTTTCCATTTCCCAACTGGTGATTATTACCCTACAGGCATATTATAACGACCTGGGGGTTATAAAAATTAAAATAGCTTAAAAATAGGCTCCACTTTAGAACACTGAAATTGGAATCTGTGGAAACAACATGTTTAGGAAGACTCCCTACTACTACTGAGGTGGTCTGCTCGAGAGCATTTGCATCCATCATGCCAAGCTGCTACCCAGAGGTACGGAGTATAATTCCACAAAGGCACAATCTGAACTTCGGACTTCTCTGTGCCATAGAATACACACTGCCCCGTCCCAGATGACCCACACTTATCCTTTCCTTATATTACCTGCCCTCTTTACAGGTACAAAGAAGCGTTCTCATGGCTCACCTGCTCCAAGCACTAGTTCCACAAGTCGCCTTACCTTGCCAGGTAGGTAAATGACATTGCCCTATTATCTCAATTACCACAGATGACACAAAGCACTAGGGCTTCAAGAGTAGGAAACAGCAGCTGTGGCAGAGCCTCTGTCCAAGTCTACCTTATCAGGAAGCTTGGTGTCTGTTGCCTTTATTTGTGAGTTTCTTCCAGATGTGGCCATATTGTTTCCAAGACAATCATATTTGCTTCCACTTAGCAATGGACAGAATGGAACTGTGCTCTTGGGGAGGCTATGAAGTATCCACTTCTGAGAGGCAGGTAGTACAAGGAAAATTAATGGGCAGAGAGAGATAAAGATAGGAAGGCATGTAGGTAGGTAGATAGATAGATAGATAGATAGATAGATAGATAGATAGATATGAATTCAAACTCGAGGCTTGTCCTGTTAATTTTGCAACCTCAACTATGCTACTTCATCTTGGATTAGAAATGCTACCTCTAACCTTAATACCCTCTGACACTGTGTCATAACTAATAGCAGATACAGTTAAGGTCTAGTGTTGCAAATATGGAAATGTATATGACCTAGATTCCTTTTAGCATCTCCAAGGGAAATATCCATTCATGATAATCATCTGTAGCTGCAAGGTAAGCAAGCACCTGCTAGTCTTTCTGAGTGCACATATAACCTCACACACACTTTTACTGCAATTTTAATCTTAGTGGAGCTTGTTTTGAGTAAGTGAAAATGTAAAAGTTAAACATGGTCAGTGTAAACTCTTTTGTAGTAATAGGAAAGACTACAGGAAGGAAAGATTCCATTTATTGCTAATGTTGCCCATTTACTAAGATCCCCTCTCCTTCTAGGTTGTATACAGTTTTTCTTGAATTCAATTTGTATCTTATGTAGAATTTTGTTTTCTCTCTTTGAAATTTACTATTTTTTATTTTTATTGAACTCTAATTTTTCGATGCTTCCCTCCCTACCTCTCTCCTCCACTTTAATCCTCTCCCAAGGTCCCCATGCTCCCAATTTACTCAGGAGATCTTGACCTTTTTCTACTTCCCATGGAGATTAGATCTATGTATGTCTCTCTTAGGGTCCTCATTGTTGTCTAGGTTCTCTGTGATTGTGATCTGGTCTTGAAATTTACTATTATATTAAAGGGGTTTTCTACATGTTAGTAAATTAATATCTTGGTAATTTGCTAATATGTCTATGATTGTCAGTTTACTTACATGTGTAATGACAACTTTACATTGTACAGTTTGCATGTTTTTGTAATCATGTTATGTTCTTGTTCATAAATTTTTGGAGTCTATGTATAGAGTGAGTGAGATTCCTGGGATAGAAATTCTTAGTAAAGATTGTCTAGATACTTAGGTTCTTTTCAAGATACACTTTAGTAATATTAATTTTTATTTGTTATTATACTTAAATTATTAATGTGAACATTTTAGTATTTTTGTCAATGCTAAATAGTATGTTCCATGGTTTATCATTTTGATGAGAAAAATGACATTTCATCCACATTTACTTTGCCTTTATCTTTTTACAAATACCTGTTTGCTAATACAAAATTATCTTTTAGGTTTCTGCTTTGGGGAATTACTATATTTCATCTACTGTGAAAAGCATATTGTCTTGTATTCTAATCCCTCTGAAATTAGGCTTTCTTAAAAAAATGATTATTCCATTGAGTTTTCATTGCAGTAAATTTCCACATTGCCTCACCCATTGCTCCCAATTCCAGTCATCTTTCCAGTACTCTCCCTCCACCCTGCCCTCCACCTGGCCGGATCCAGTTTATGATCCATGGTGTGTAATAATTTCACTCACATTTTTTCTTGCTTGTAGGTTCAGTAGTACCTCACTTCACAATTAGTGATATTCTTGACAGAGGAAATCTAATCCACATTGACTTAGTATTCCAGTTTATGTGCCGTAGCTTTTTTCACAGGCCTGACCTCTAGATTCGGTCATTGTCAGCTAAGGAGCCTTGAATGTTCTTGCCTCTGTGTCTTACTGAAACTAATTTCCCTTGGTGCATCTCTCTTTGCAGCTCTCTCCAAACCATCTAGTGAGAATTAACATTGCACTGCAATGGGTCTTTCTCTGTCCTGCCAACCAGCTCCCAAGGAATGATATGGAGACTTATTGATTATAGCATCTTGGCCTATAACTTGGGCTTCTTCTTAGCCAGCTTTTATATCTTAAATTAACTCATGTTATTTAAACTACGTTCTACCCTTTTAATCTACATTCTACCTTTCTTTCATTCTATACTTCCAACTTTTTCCGCATCTCACTGGTATCTCCTCTGTGTGCCAGTTTCTCTCTTTGCCTAGAAGTCTTACCTATTCTCTCTGCTTAGCTATTGGCTTTTTGGCTCCTTTTCAAACCAGGCACAGTGACACATCTTTACCCAGTATAATCAAATATCTGGCAATATCGCATGGCCACGATTTGCTTTAAAGTGCTTTTACCTGTTGACAGGTGACATTTTCCACAGTGGAGCCCATCTTACTTCTTTCTGATCCCAGACTGCCAAGGTGATAGGTAGATGCCTATCCATTTCCACAAGGCTTCTACAAGTGAGGGAGTGAGCAACCTCAGGATTAGTTTGTGATTGCTTAGAAATGAAGCATCCTTTATGCCTAGAAACCATCTTATAATGTGCCCACTGCGGTACATTTCAGATTTTAGAGCGTTAGGAGGAGGCTAACATCATCCCAGCAACACCACTGGAAAAGTTATCTCATTCTTGAGCCAGGAAAGACCTTAGAGGTCATCATGGCTCTCAATAAGAGTATGCAGCCCTGATGTGACCTGACCTGCTGTGCTGAACACCATAACAGCTTGCGAGGGTTACATGGCCTGTGAATCACCATGTTGGCAGCCTTGTCTTTCACCTGAGTTTGTCAGTCTCAACTTGTTCCAAAGACTTAACTTCTAAGCTCTGACCATCTCCAAAGCTTATACGGAGTAAAGTAGGTACCTCCCAAAATGCATGACACAATGCCAGGCGCTCTGTCTAACATGCGCCTCCACCTTGCTAATTATAGTCGTCAGCTCTTTCTGGCCCCTTCTGCCTCAGGAACTATACATGTTTCCTACTTCTGGCTTAGATGGTTTTATGGCTACCTACTCAGATAGGACTGGTGTCTTCTCATGTTCCAACTTAAAGGAGCTTTTAGTGGTATTATAACTGTGTTATAGAAAATCATTAATATCCAGCAAAAGTAGCTTTAAGAACCATTGATTGGGCAGTTAGTTGAAGATTTTAAGATTCAGGCATTAACACCATTGCCATGGATGGATTTAATTCAGCATGATTACATCAATCAGCTGCAGGTAATTAAATGAGGAGACTCCTTTTGTGAATTCTGGCCAGGATGACCTGAGATGCTCATTCCTTGATAGATAATCCTCTGCTCTAAACACATGCAGAGATAAACAAAATAGAAAAATGAATTAAAGTCTTGAAAGACAGTGTAAGAGACCAACAGCTCTGGGAACCAGAAACCAAAGGGAATTACACAAAGTACCTGATACCCCAGAACAGATGCTGTGGGACAGCTGTGCTTCACAACCCAAACAGACACTGGGATGCAGGCATTCAGAGAGGGACCTGGTCAGAATACAGGACAGGGTCCAAGAAGAGTAAAATCCCTGCTGCTGGCCTTTGTTTGGAACACGAGGCAGAGCTACTGATCTGGAGCTAAGGAAAAACAGCCAATGTCAGTACTGGAAGTGAATCTCTGACTCTCCCAATATGACTGTGGGCTTTTAGAACCAGGTATTGTCTTAAGCCATGCTCTGACAGAAAATTTTAAGGGATCAAATGGAAGTAAATACAAACTCTACACAGAGCTGCCACAGGGGTAAGAAAGGTGGAAGGAAGCACAGGACACTCAAATTCAAGAGATAACAAAAGAGGTGACAGGTAATTTGGGCCTCATCAAAATAACAGACTGTTGGATAGCCAACAAGACTACCAACTGTGTCAGAAGGCAAACCAGAGCATGGGAGAAAATATTGGCAAATGATATGTTTGATTAGGAGTTAATATCTAGAATATATAATGAAACTTCAGTAACTCATTTTGGGAAATGTTTACAGTTTCTTAAAAAGTTAAACGTATCCACGTGTCCTGGTACATGTTAGTTGGCACCTATGGGACAGAAAGTCAGGGGGAGGGGGCAAGTGTTAGATAGCAGCCCAGATTCCACAGCAAGTTCCAGGCCAACTTAGGCTACATAGAGAAGCCTTGTCTCAAACCAAAACCAAAACAAAGCAAGAGTTAAACCTTCTATGTAATCAATGACCCAGGAATTTTAGATTCATAAGCAAGAAAAATTAAAGCAAAATTTCACCGGATACCTTGTTCCCATGTGGTTACAGTGACATTTCCCATAGTAGTCCAAACGTGGAAACTATCTTCTTTCCAGTACCTGAAGGATAACCTGACAAAATGTCACAGCCATTCTGAATGAATGAAGTCCTGGTGCAATCTGAAGATTGGGGAGAACATTTTGCTCCGCAGAAGAAGCCAGACGCAAAAAGCCATGTGACAATGATTCTGCCTGTAGAAAATATACAGAAAAACATGAGGTGGGTAGTGGCATCAGTGGCTGAGGAGTAAAGAGCAGAGGGTGACTTTCCCAGGGCATGGGGTTTTTAAAGCAGAGGGCCTCTACCCGGACCCAACAACATCGAATTCAGATCGAAGAATTCAAGGTGTTTAACCATGAGGAGAAATTTCCGGTCTCGACAATGCATCCCAGCAGTCACTGCAGCACAACAGTCGAAGTGAGAACAGGAATCCAAATGAAAAACTGAACAAGCAAGAAGTCAGTAGGCAGAGAGAAGAAAGGAAATGGCCAAGAATGCAGAATTGCCTTCTTTGTCAAGTCCCACCTTCTTTTTTGAGATGGGATTTTTCACTGAACCTGGAACTTACAAACTAGCTAGGATGGCTGGCCACCAAGCCCTTGGCATCCCTCTGGAAGCCACCCTAGGGTTAGGGTTAAAAGAATAATCTACCACA